GAATTTTCGTAAGATTTATCAATATTTCTAATTTATTTAATTTAAAAAGAATAACCTGCTATAGCCTATAGGCAGTGTATGCAAAATGCAACGCATACCTTCTAGGCGCGCTAAAAAGCGGCCCGATTCGAATCAGAAACGAAAATTCAACTACGGCCCGTACGTTGGATAAGGCCAGCCTAAGCTGTAACCCCAACGGTAAGCAACTCGTTCTAGTCAGGAGCCTTATGTATCTAATCTAAAAACCTTATATCTAAAAACCTTTTATTTGTGAATGGAGGTTGATACCCTTTATTTATGTCAATAAAAACCTTATATTTGTGAATGAGGATTGATACACTTTATTTATGTCAACATAAGGTATGCACAATGAATTGTACATTGTTGTTAAAAAGTTGGACCTCACTTATTACATGTACTTTTATATCCTTACACACCATTAAAGCTTCATCCTTCGGTTAACTGATCCAATTAAATGGAAGAACTTCAAGTAACATTTTGGTCGGCACTCAAAATCTGAGTGGTTGAGACAAAGGCTTTCCTATGTTCAAATTTCTCCATGAAAGATATGGGTGAAGCGGAAGTTATAAAAATGGTATATATGTAAGGGGGTTGGTTCAAGTAAAAAGTAGTCTTCCTATGAAAAGTGAGAACAAATCTTAGCCTTTAATCACTTGTGTATAGATGGATTGGATGAACTTTAATCACAAGATACAGACTCAAATAATGTGCAAATGTTTATAGTACAAAGTGAATATTAAATGAATAAAAGTGCACTCATAAGAGTTAAAAAAATTGCCATTTTTTTAAAATTTGTGCACATTTTATGATGTACGGTTATGCACTTTTGTACTCTGCATGTACACTTTTTGCATATGTTGGTACACTTTTCGTATAAAATTTTTATCAAAAGTTCTTCATAATTACCAAAACGCCACCGCATTTTTCACTTAAAATTTGATCTCTTCCATCCATTTTTTCACATCAATGGCCAAGATTAGTTTTTATTTTTCACCCAGGAACCACTTTTTATTTGATCCATACTCTATATGTAAGAGCCATTAAAGAATATAATGTTGAAATTTGAATTGTACCTTTTAATCTGAAAGGGATTTTGGAAGATTTATCTAAATAGGAGTAAATAAATCATAGTTGCTAAAATAGGAGTAAAGTTGAAAATTTTCTCAAATATGAATTATTATTTATGAAAAAGTTATTTTTAAAATAGATTTTATTACTAAGATAAAGGGAAAAATATATGAAAAAATATAAATGACACTCTAAGTAACTCCAGCTAATTTAGCCAAAAAATAATAATTCAAGCCTTACTTATTTTTTATTATTAGCTAATTTAGTGTGCGAAGTCAAAAATCACGTGTTTTATGAAAAAGTTGACTGAGAAGGTTTATAAGCCGAAAAATAGTGTCACCAAATGAGCTCGATTCTAGAGTGAGTGGCTCCGGTACACCCGGCCTCACACGTAAAAAAATTTAACATCTTATGCGTGACTCAGGACCTCATCAGATTCTAAGACACAAGCTACTTAAAGATTACCCTACCTACAAGGAATCTCCTATTTACAAGGATACACTTATTGAACCTTAAGTCGAGGAAGATGTTAAATGGGAAATCTCGGCAACAATTTAAATGGGCTTAGGGTGCTTTTGGGAGTTTATCAAGGATCTTATAAAAGTGATGTGGGTTGTTCTTCCAACGCTCGAGGATTTCTAAAGCTTGCTGATTTTCTATGGAACCGGAATATAGTCTCAACCAGCTCTAAATCTTATTTTGTTTTGCACTACTTTTCTTTTCATTAGTTATTGACTTGATTAGCTCTTGTTTCTCATTATTGTCACTTGTCAAGGTTCAGTCCCATGTGACTGGATTTACTTTTGCGATTGAACTTTAACTTCTCTTTTATTAATAAACCCTTTCCTATTTGAAAAAATTGAGGAATTTAGCTATAACCACGGACACATAATTTGAGGGAAGATCTAATAACAATTACACAAGTAAAAGTTCTCCACAAAAAAATATTACTTCAATATTGGATAAATATTTTTGCGCCTTGCGCGAGTAAACGCTAGTGGTTGTATACACATGCACAAGCCATTGTACGACTTACAAAATAAAAGCTACAAAAAATTAAGATATACACATATACAAGCCATTTCCATAAAATACCAGCTATATTAAATTTGCCAAAAAATAACCAACAAAAAGTATGATACTAAGAGCCCGTTTAGTAGCACGAAAATCGACTGATTTGGTTGATTATGCTGAAATTTATGAAGTTCTGGCTGAAGTGGCTGCATTGGCTGATTGTGGTGATTTAATAAAAAATTATTTTTAAAATATATATTATTAATAAAATAATGAAAAAATTATACTCCCTCTGTCCCTAAATTTACTTCTAACTTTCCCTTTTCGTCCGTTCTAAAAAGAACTTCACTTTCCCTTTTTGGCAAAGAATTTGTGGTACACAACATTTCTCTCTCTTCTGCACAACTCTCCACCACACAATTCCCACTTTCTTAATCACCGTGCCACTTTAATTTGGAAGAACAATCAGGGACGGAGGGAGTATGTAAAAATAGCTAAAATGGTCATCTATAGCAACTTCAGCCAAAACAGTCAGAAAAATAACCCCAACCTTACTTTTTCTGCTTATTACACAATTCAACGCGTGAAAGTAAAAGTTACGTGTTTGGTGAAAAAATTGCCTGATAAGCCGAAAAACGGTGATTCCAAATGGCCTCTAAATATAACTTCATATTATAAAATTAACCAAAAATTAACCAACAAAAATTATGCTACTAAATATTACTCCGTACTTCATATTGAAATTATTGTATTATTATATTATATTGGTATTATTGTCATTTTGATCACCTGACTACTTTTGCAAATCTTATTTTTTGAAAAAAAAAATGATGTTTAAGTTGGATTGATTTTTGTCCCGGGTCAAACTAGACCAACTAGATCATACCAAACTTAAACAAATAAGTCGAGACTAGACTTTGGGGGTGTTTGGCAACTAGCCGTTGGCGGTTGGCTGTTGCTGATTGTGTTAGCTGTTTGATGTTGGCTGATTCTATTGGCTGCTTTGATTATCTGATAGTCTTAGCGGTTTATATAATAATGTTTGGTTAAATGGCTATTTAAAATTAGGTGATAAATTGTTATATGACTTTTAAGGACAGAGAATATTTTTTTACAAACTACTTTTACATATGTATATTATACAAGTATTTCGTACATGTCAACCATGTTATTAATTAGAACAAGAACTTACACCATTGTTGATTTGTAGTTAATTAATAAAAAAAATCGTCATACAAGAAACAATTTTTTAATGAAAATAATTTATAGACGAATTGTATTACAAGATGGGTTTTCATGTTTCTCACTGCATCATTACAAAATCATACGGAGTATTTTTTGGACACGGGCTCAAAAAAGATTTGATCAATAAAAATGCAATTAACACTAGAGATTTGATTAACAGGAATTGTGATTATGACGTTTGCTCACCGCCTCCTGTTATGGACTTATGGTAGATCGAATATGTCAAGCTAGGAAAATGTGAGAAGGGAATGGACACACTATGGGCAGAATAGGAATAATATGGTGGATAAAGAAATGGCCGAGAGGAAACGCTACATATTATGGCGTTTTGAAATTTTGGCTGTTTACAACAAACAGCCAAATTAGCAAGTCCATAACCAAACACTTCAATAGCGGATTAAAGTGGTCAAACAGCCAATTAACAGTCAAAACAGCTAAAAATTGGCTGATAGGCTGTTAACCAAACACCCCCTTTGACGATGATAATATACATACAAGCATAAAACAAACAAATGCAAAAACAGAACAAACAACTTCACTAAGTAAGCCCATAAAATTTCAATCCAATGAAAAACACCATATTAAAAATGTTGTTCTTAACAGTTAACACATTAGAAATGTAACATTATTGGAAATTCGTAAAGCAATGGCCAGTGGTGTTCTTATGTAATATTATGTAATACATACTAAATTTACATTCTAATTAATGGCGATATAAATATTAAAATTATGATGAAAAAGTTAAAATGTCTTTTCACGCATTTGTCCCGCTTAGCCCTATTAAGCTTCAAAAGCTTAAGGCTTGAAGGTGCAGACTCGACAAGTCTTACACTTGTCGAGTAGAAACCCAATTTTCCACGAGGTTGTGCATCGGCTATAGGCTACATATCCTATGAAGCACGGATACTTCCCTAGGGTAGCATATCGGCGTATTCGAATATTCGATACGTTCCCGTATCCGATACTCTAGGATACCCATACCGTACGTTCCCGGGCCGTATCTGCAATTTTTAAAAGTTTCCATTTTTTTTGTAATTTTTTGAAAGTTTCCGATACTCGTATCCTGACGGATACCCGTATCAACTTTTTAAAAAAAAAAATCCCAAAATTTACTTAATAAAATTCTAAAAAAAAATGAAAATCTAAAACTACATTTTACTTGGTAATCAAATAATGGGCCTATATGGCTATATCCGAATTAAGTCATTAACTCATACTCCGAATTGGGTATTTGCACTTTTAATTTCAAGATTGTAGTTGTTTGACTTATTTCTCATTTTAAATTAATGACTTATTGACTACATTTATATTTCGAGATACACTAGTGTATATGAGAAATATTATGAATTTATTACTAAGTATCTTGAAAAAGGAAAATGTTTCAATGCAATGAATGAGTAGACATCATAGGATATTATATGTATGTATATATATATATATATATATATTCAAAAAAAATCTATTTTTAATATTTATAAATAGACCCCTATAACTTTTAATATTTGTAAATACACCCCCATAACTTTTAATATTTATAAATATGGTCCCGAATCCATATCCTACTTTTTTTGGTTTTAACGTATCCCCGTACCCGTTTCTGCGTTTCCGCGTACCAGTATCGGTGCTACATAGTACATATCAAATGAAAATAATTAAAGCTTTACCTTTTTTTCATAATTGTAGTAATTATTATTTTTCCTTTATTATCGTCGTGGTCTCTGCTACTCGAAAGTAGAAACCCAGTTTTCCACGAGTTTGTTTGTGACCTCCTTCCTTGTTCCTATTCCACAATTCGCCGTCTTCTAAATACATCCTCAGGTATGTATCTTCTACTCTTATCTATATTCGACAAGTTTTATGCTTCCAATTCCAACCTTATGCTGTATCATCCTCATACAAAATTATATAAAACACAATTATCATATCTTTTACCATTGATGATAATTGTGTACGGTCCTAATTCCTAATCTGAAACAAATCTAACAGATCTTCTATCAGCGATATATTTTAGACGATTTGTATGTAAGAATACTCTACTGATCTTATTTTGACGGTTCCGATGAGTATTTGCTTGGGTATATTTTCATTATTCTGTGTCTGACAGACGGATTCGGATGCAATTTTCTTATAACTGCGTTTGTTAGCATTGAAAACACAAGAGTATTATTACATTAAAATTATTGTATTTTAAAATTTAATATTATATACAGAGTATTGCATTAAAGAATCTGCAATTTTGTTAGATTTTTTATTGCTTCAGAAAAAGCAAATTTTAGGCAAAAAGCTGAATTTAAATAAGTTCCATTTGTAGTTAAATTTATGGAGTCATAGCAGGAGATGCTTTCAGCCGTCCACTCTTTTGCAATACTTTGCAGACTGCAACAAAAGGCTAAAGATTGAAACAAATTATAAATAAAATTGACAAGTACTTTTGAAAAAAAAAACTTGAGACTGTCATGGAAGGGCCCCATCTGCCCTTTCACCATAGAAAGTTTACATTTATCTTCAGTACCTATATCTTCAGCCGGTCGTGCCGAGGGGGTTTCCATCATCGCATGCAATCCATAGATAACTATCCATTTGCATATAAGTCTTTACTTTTCATCTGAAGGATGCCCAGTAATTAACTTTTAAATCTTCACTTCAGAATTACAGCATTTTTTTTAAAAAAGCATCTAAATGTTGACTGTTGCATGTTGTCCAACAAGCAATTTTATCTTAATGAACATCTATTGAATATTTTGCCACATTGTTTATTCTTAAAAAATAACAAGCGGGGAACATTTCTATGGAAATGTACAACGTTGCATTAAAGGTTAGGTTGCTTTGAGTGCTTTTCTATTCTGGGTGGTGCAACCTTGGTTGCTCTCTATGAGCTTATAGGAAGAAGTTAGCTGTTGTCATGGATAAGGGTGCTTGTTTTGGTCTCAACCTTGGTTGTAACCTTGGTTACTTCCATGAACAAAAACATATGGTATATGGCTGACTGCCCATAACAGAAGAGCTCAACTCTAGAATTGTTTTTTTTGTCAAGGCCTCAACTTTGTTTAGTACTGAAAAGAATGGTGAGAGTTGTATCATCTTACTTTTAATGAAAAAGAACTCTTCTTTGTCGAGTAACAAGTACTCCCTCTGTCCTAGCTTAAGCTTCTCACTTGACTTTTTTGGACGTCCCAATTAAAGCTTCTCATTTCTACTTTAGGAAATAATTAGCACTCTTAAATGACAAATTAATCATCAAATATTAAAAATAATACACCTATAACATCACAGCTATCATCAATGATCTTATTATGTTATATACCCATCAAAATTACTTTTGAAAATATACTCGAATAACCATGTCATTTTTCAACAAGAAGATTAAGCCGACACAGAGGCAGTACTATTTAACTATTCTATTAAGTAGTACTCTGTATTTTTTAAATGCCATTCAGTAACCATACTATATTGCTATTCTCTTAAATGCCAATCACTAACAAATGCTATTCTCTCAAATACTATTTTGGTCAATTAATCACAAATTCTTTAAAAATTTGGAAAATTGTGGTCTCTAAAATAGTTGTGCAACTTCAATTTAACTTTGAAAGGACATAAAAAGGGGCTCTGGCAGATAATCTTAAATTTATATGTGATTAAAATTTTAAGGGAACTATTAAATGTCTAAATGTTTTCCATCATTTGCAATGGAGCCAAAGATTCATTATTTTTTGGCTTGAGAATATGATGTAATAAAGCAAAATGGCTCACCTAGCTGTCTGCGCTTCTTTGTTATGAAGCAGCGGCCAGTCAATGCAATTTTGGACGCGATTTTAACTATGGGTCATCCGGAAACAGTCTCTTTGTGCTTTAGTACGAGGGTAAGACTGCGTACATCCTACCCCCCTACCCCACCGTAGGTGGGAGCCTTTGCGGCATTGGGGTAAATGATGGTTGTATTAAATGTCTAAATGTCATTATGAAGCAAGTTGTCTTTGGATAGTTTGGTCAAATAAGGAAAAAAAAATTGAAATTAGAAACTGTAGTTTCTATATCTGTTCATCATCATCATCATTACCCCAGTGCCACAAAGGCTCCCACCCACGGTGGGGTAAGGGGGGTCGGATGTACGCAGTCTTACCCCTGTACTAAAGCACAAAGAGACTGTTTCCGGATGACCCATAGTGAAAATGGCGTCCAGAATCACAGAATGCATGGACCGACTGCAACTTCATAACAAAGAAGCGCAGACAGTTTAGTGAACCAATTTGTTTTATTCCATCATATTTTCAAGCCAAAAAATAGTGAGTGCTTGGCTTCATTGCAAATGATGGAAAGAGTTTTTATATCTGTTGCAGGACTTTAATTTAACTCTCAAATATGTTAACTCAATTAACTAATTTTGAATCTTCATATCACAATTATAGCATATTTGAATCAAAAAATGCTTCTAAATAATGTTGACTTATGCATGGTGTCCAGCGTGAAATTTTAATATTTTATCCTAACGATTATCTATATGAAGCACTCAACTTTTATTTACTCTAACAAAAAACAATCATATAATTTTGCCCCAGGGCTCTAGAATATGCATTAAAGGATAGGCTGGTTAGTGCATTGTCCTATGGGTGATGCTACCTAAGCTGCTCCGAATGAACATATAGGAAAAATGGTTTGTGTCACGGATAAATAGTTTTTCTGGTCAGGGATTCAGCTCCCATAATTACATCCATTGCAAATGAATGAGTCAACATCCATAATAACAGTTGTGAAACTCTGAATGAGGCATACTCAATTAATTAATTTGTTTAAGATAGGTACTAATGAGTACGTACATTAAAGGAATGTCTTGTTGAGTACCTATGTCATACGTATAATCTATAATATCACTCTGTTCTCCTTTGAAAATGATAAAGAAAAGCATGTCACTGATGCAATTCAGTGAGACATTTGAAGTCTTAGCTATCAGATATTCATATTCTTTTTTTAGCTAATGCTATCAAATTGGGAAGATAATTATTTAGAAGAGTTTTTTTCCATTTTCAGTCCCTCGACTACTGAGTATTATAAAATTGCCACTTTTAGTCCTTGCACTATGAATTTGACACAATAAGTGGAGGATTAAAAATGTCACTATTGTAATAGTTGAAGGATCAATAGTGTCACTTTTATAAAAGTCTAAGGACTAAATCTGGAAATTTTATGTCTGTCACACAATAGTCGAAGGACTAAAAGTGGAAAAACTCAAAGTCGAGTACCAAAAGTGTCAGTGACATAATAGTCAAAGGACTAAAAGTGGCAAAAACTCTTATTTAGAACTTGGTTCAACTAGGAGTGCTGTTTTGCAGAGCTGTATGACTTGTATCGTTCTTCTGTTTCACATTCCTGCTCTACAAAGTAGTAATAATTGTATAACTGACTCTTACTGCCTGGAAGAAAGTGTTGTAGAATGATTGCCTTCATGATTTCACTACAAATTTATCAATTGAAAAAGGTGGCAGTAGATTTATTTTTGCATTTTCCTCAGCGTCTCTTAGACCCTTATGAATACATATTTGTAATTCATGAGACTGAAGATTGAATCAGTTTCCAGTTCATTTTAGATCTTTCCAGTGCTAGAAAGTTGGAAAGCTGTTATTCCTGACATGTGTATCCGCTGATGGATGTTCACAATATCTAAGGTCAGATGGAGCTCAAGGGGGGCACCAGGGTGTGTATTGAATGAGATGTTTTTTTGTGGTATTAGGTATGGCAGAGGCAGAAGCACCCTTCAGGCCAAGAGAGAAGCTTATTGAAAAGCAGAAGTTCTACCAGAACATTCACAAACATACCCATTTGAAGGGTGGGTATGATAGGATTACCTCAGTTGGCATTCCTCTTGCATTGGCGGCTACCTCGCTGTTTATGATTGTGAGTTCTCCCAACACAGTTTTTTTTGTTACTCTAATCACACATTGCTTGCAATTTGTTTTGTGATATAAATAGCTTTTATCATATGTCAGGGGCGAGGGATCTACAATATGTCCCATGGTATTGGAAAGAAGGAATGAGAATGAAGGGATCTACAACATGTCCCATAGCTTTTATCAACATCTAAACAACTCTTTTTTCCTTTTTTCTTTCTTGGGGAGAGATTCTTACTGAGATCCTATCTTTTCTGAAAAATATTGTTTATTGTTAATAAGTGCATACATTGATATGGACTATGCTTGTAAGCTCATGGGTTTTATGAATTATGACTGTGACTTAGGGGGTGTCCTCAATTCGGATTGTTACAGATTCTTGTGGAGTTTAGAATTCCATCACAATTTAGGCGTCCTCAATATGGATTTTAAAAGATTTCGATAGAATCCATCAAAATATAGGTATCCTCAAACATTTTATAGATTTCATTTATTATCTATTCCAATGGATTTTAAAAGATTTTGATAGAATTGTACACATAAAACATTCCACCCACAATCCCACTGATCCCCCTCGGATTTTAAAATCCGGATGTCGTCCTTGCAGGCTTGCAGCTTCTCCCTCCAAGTTTCCTTTCTTATCTGGATGACTGGATGTCACCAAAGTTTCCTTCATCTTCTACCACAACTTGCATAACTCCTTATCCGTCTTCACTGCCACAGGGCCAAGTCCGCCGCCCTCAAGTGTTACGTCCTATCTGTCTTCACCGCCCCCTGGTTTTCTTTTGGACATCTCCCTCGAGCAGTCAAGCGTTCACTAAATCGCCGCAAGCCGGCGCCCCACCACCCTCTACACTGAGGCCAGCTTCCTCTTCGAGTCCCACATCGTCGATATCCTCTGTGGCATCCATAGCGGTGACCTCACCCCTCCTTGCTCTGCCGCGTCAACGAGCTCCAAGTGTGAACTCTCCTTGAAATCAATTAAAATCCATATAACTCCATGATATATAATTCCATAGAATTCCCTTAGAATCATATGCAATCCGTGAATTTCCATTTAAGGGGGTGTTTGGAACTGATTTTGCTTTTGTTTCTTTTTTAAAGAAGAAACAGAATCAGAATCAGTTTTCAGAAGCTGGTCACCCCCAACTTCTAAAAAAATTGATTCTAGGAGTAAATTTGAGCACCAAAATCACTTCTGCTCTTTCACCCAAAAACTCCAGAATTTCAATCTTTTAAAATCCAAGGAAATCATATGGCACTGGATTTGTTTTCTATCTGCTTTAGGGGTTTTAAATACTACGTATAAACTAGTATATATGTAGTACATCATACCTCTTCTGCACTATAATAAACTAATAATAGTAATTATATATTATAGGGGTGGACTCGGGTCGGGCCGCCCGGCCCGGAACCGGACCGGCCCGGTACCCGGTCTTGGGGCCGGTTCAGGATAACCGGAACCGCTCTAATCCCGGTGCGGGCTCGGGCCCCCTAAAATGCGAACCGATCCGGTTCGGGCCTATTTTTTTTTTTTTCAATTTTTTTTTGTTTCTACCGGGTTGGGCTGGGTGTTTTGGAGGGTGGGGGTGAAGGGGGGGGGGGGGGTCGGGGTTATTTAGAAAATCAAAAGAAAATTAAAAAAAAAATAACATTGAACTGGCCTGAACCGGCCCGGCCCGGAACCGCCGGCTACCCGGACCGGTTCCGGTTCCACCATTCCCAAATAAAAGCCCGCCCGGGCCCAGGCCCGAACCGGAACCGGCCCGGACCGGGTCCATCCCTAATATATTATTATTGCTACTATTATTATTACTATGCCATTCGTTAATGTGGTCTAATCTCTATTAGTCAGAACTCAGAAGTTAAGGTACTACTGAATGAAGGCGAGCTCATACAAACGTGCAGGTCGCCTTTGGTTCAAATAAAACCGATGCGTTGTTTGAAACTGCCTAAAAAAATTCTACGGAGTAAACAAGAATTTCCTGATTTTAAGATACGTTTTTTAAACTGCCTACAAAAAAATCATATAAACAAAAACTTTTCCTGATTTTCACAGATGTTGCTTTTGATTCTCCAAGAAATAGAAAATAAAGAGCCCGTTTGGTAGCACCAAAATCGGCTGTTTTGGCTGATTCTGGTGAAATTTATGATATTCTGGCTGGAGTGGCTGTTTTGGCTGATTCTGCTGATTTAAGAAAAAAATATTTTAAAAATATATTTTATTAATAAATTAAAGAAAAAATTATATGTAAAAATAGCTAAAATGGTCCTCTACAGTAACTTCAGCCAATACAGCCAGAAAAGTAACTCCAACCTTACTTTTTCGGCTTATTACACAATTCAGCGCGCGAAAGTAAAAGTTACGTGTTTGGTGAAAAAGCTGGCTGATAAGCCTGATAAGCCGAAAACAGAGTTCTCCAAATGGGCTCAAAATATCATACTCAATGAGGCCTTAATTAAAATAAAATACTCCTGCGTTAAAACGGCCACTTTAATTGATACCTTAGAGGCTCGGAGCTCTTTGTCTTGATGTAAATACCCAATATTAAGAGAGTTCAGAGCGTTAAGTTCTCTTTGATTGTGCAACTAGAAAAAATCACTATTTCATAAAAGTTTCTTAAATTTACCTGCTTGATGACTTGAAACCAAAAACTTCCATTTGAGATGATCTAAAGCGTGTGATATGATTATTTGAAATTTTGAACTACTCATTTTTTTTGAAAACTATTTGAACTACTCAATTGTCAACCAATTTGGGATGGATGACGTGACTGACTTTGAATGGCTGACCTCTTTGGCACTTGCTACACCATTCTTCAACTTGAGTGCCCATACTTTAGCATTAAATGTGCCCCTGACACTTGCAAGGCTTCTCGATCGGTACTTTTAGGCTGATGCGTTTAGCAGCCAAGAGTGATGTTTGTTATCTATCAAGTATGGGTTCTTACCCATTCGGGAACTACCGAACGGTTCATGCTCAGTGGGTGAGAACTCGTCCGGGACCCCAACCCGTCTGGGATCCCAATGGTCTGCCTGATATTTATTGGGCTTTGTTGCTTCTTTTGGGCTTTAGGGATATTTTGGGCCAGGTAATTGGGCATGACTCTAATATCCCAACAACAACCAATAGTAATGTGGACTGTGGAGTATATATCATGAAGGTTTATTCAAATAGAACCTAAAGTTTGAAATTCCATAAATAAGATTTCCTAATTCTCATTGGAGAATAATATCCTCATAAGGTTGGAGCATTGCTTCCCTAGGTCGCTGGATTGCCACCAGAGAGCCTACTACTTGTCGTCGCAAATATTCCCTAGGTCGCTGGATTGCCACCATCTAATTGATCCATCACCAAGGAACTGACCTTAGTTATGTAAACGACTAGAGGACGATTAATATATTAGGGGTAAAAATGTAATGTTTAGTCCTGTTTGAGTAAAACAAAATATATGATCTTATTTTTACAAGATATCTTTTTTATGTATTCCTATTATGAGAAATTTCCTCTATACGTAAAATATTTCTTGTGTCACCAAGATGTTTGTCATTTTCTATAAATTCAAATTTCCTAATTGAAATCCTGTCGTATGGTAGATACCTTGCGAGGTTTGGATGGTGGGATGAAAAGGAAGACACTTCGAGATAGATGAAAAACCGGACCATAAAATCTCCTATATATCGTTGATTTTTTTGAACGGTTCAAAAAAGCTAGATTTTGAGACATCTATAAAATATAATAAAGCAAACCCTTATGGAATGCTTTGGAGAATTTTTTGACATGTGGCAAAACTCTTAATGGAAAATTTGCCAAGTGGCATCCCCATATTAAATTTCACTCCATGTTTTTATAGTAGTTATTATAGTTATTATGTACGTAAATATGATAAGAGACAACATTATATTTATATATGCATGTAAAAGAAAATAAAAGGAAAACCTATTCAACTTCTAAAAATACATGCATATAAACATAAATGAAACCATTTTAAGCTTCTCAATAAACGTACACACTAAATCATATGTGCACATCATTTATAAGCATTTAAAAAGGTGAAGGAAAGTCTATTCACATTCCAAAACTCCGTGTATATATTATACTATGTATTATACTGCCTTTGTTCCATTTTATTTGTCATATTTTAGTTTGACACAATTATTAATAAAATGTTTGAAATAGTAAAAGTTGTAGAAACTAGAGATTTGAATTTAATAAAGTGAAATGCAGTAGATCACATATTTCTTCTAAAAAAAATGTGACACTTATTTTGAGACAACCCAAAAAGAAAAGTAAGACAGATAAAATGAGACAGAGGGAGTAACATAAAGGACAACCTCATCTGCAAGCTGAAAGTGTTGCAATTATATAAACCGGAGTTCGGAGGTCAGATCGGAAACATTCAGAAAATAATTATTATGATAATATTTATGATGATGATGATGATAATTGTAGTAATACTAATGATAATGATGATGATGATGATGATAATTGTAATGATGATGATGATGATGATATGTACACATACATTAATATCATACTAATTGATACTCGGGGTAACAATACCCCAATTATGGATAACTATTAAAGCCCATTACTCGAGATTAATAAACACAGCCCATTACTCGGAATTAATAAATAGAATAAATTGGGCCTAACAGGGGGGATTATGGCCCGTGTGGGGACGCCCATATCCAGGCTGACCTGTTCAACAAGTCATGAGCTCGAGCGGGATTCCATCAATGTTGGACTCACTCTAGGACTTACGTGGCAAGCCATCTACAAATGGATAACTATCTGGCAGTGGTAGGAATTAAACTGAAGAGACGTGGACACAAATGAGCATTAAATGCGGGACTTATGAGATAGGTTAGAAAGGTCCTCCCATGATTAGACCTATTAAATGTGTCGGTTATGTCTCCTAAGACTAACGTCTAGAGCAAACACTTTAGAATGTACTTTACCGTGCGATGCACGGGTACACAAACTAGTTACTACTAAAGTAAAGAAGAGACAAAGGATGTGACCTAAACTTATGAAGTATTTGCAAGGACATAAAAAGTGATTTTAAGCTTTTGGTTTAAAAAACAAAAATGAGTGTTTTCAAGCTACAACTACTACATAAAATATTTAAATGCTAGAAGCAAATGAAAGGTTAAAAAGCAATGAAACACTCCTTACTACTCCGTATAAGAGAATAGAAGAGAGAAGCATGTTACTATAAGAGCATCTTCAATGGTACAATGTGCACGGTGCACACGTGGCATGAGAGATGACCACATAAATATTAATAATAAATTATTTCTCTCCTTATTTGAATGATTTTATACAGTTTTGGTAAGTTTTTCTCCACAATGTCAAGGAGACCGTCTAATGTTGACATTGTTGTTGACATTGCAGAGAAAAACTTACC